GGCCTAATGCAAGCATTTTAGTGTGCCCACATCTCCAAGCGCTCAATTAGGCAATCTAAAAGGAAACTGACAGCACGGATGTCGCTGACATCGATCAGCCGCCATTTCGTGGAATGTCTTCAGCCAAGTGTAGGTTGAGGGGCACGGTGACTCCATCCTGGAAGACGAACCTTACCAACGACGCCCAAACTCATCGTAATCTCTTTCACACCCGTCCGCTAAGTCAAACGTTGTCCACCCCGCGGTTTGAGTCATTCTCAATGAATAACGGAGACCAACACTCCTCTCTGCATGCGAAGCAAATGACCCAGCCACCGCAGTTGATGGTACTGGATGTTTGCACGACTGAACCATCTCCTGCACAAATAAATACATATTTTTCAGTTAACTCATTACGAAATCGCCGGCGCTGTCCGAAAGCAGCAACGTTTCCGATATATCGGTGTCCAAAAATTGAAGATGCCTCAGATAATTTGTGCGTAGCGGTCGTGTCCCGTAACCATACCACAATACAGCCTTACTGTAGCCTGATACACGCGACCTTGAGACCCAGTGACATCCCTTAAAGATACCACAGGCGACTTAAATTAGAAAACGTGATTTGGGCGTTTGAGATTCGTGCACTGACTTTATCAATCACACTTCCGTCAGAACTGAAAGAACTACCGAGGTATTTTAAATTTTGCCTAACCTTCAGTGCTTCTATTTGAATTGCAGGTGGGATGCTCAGAGTCCGCACTTACTGAAGCACGACTTTGTACTTTAAGGTGCGTGCCGAAGGATAGTAGGATGATGGTCAGTTTGTTCAACAGAGCTTGTGCCTGAGTTCCGTCTTCAAAGATTAGGATGATGCCAGAACCGTTTTGAACATCGGGGTTTCGTCTCACTACTTCATCGATATTGAAGTTGAAAATATGGGGTCAGCATCCGTTTAAGATAGCTTTTTTCGGTGTTTCATTTTCCTCCAGGTTTGCGGAATGTGTGCTTCCATCAGTTAAGTACTGTGATACCGAAATCCTTCATCGATGGGATGGATATATTGATTTCATTTATAAGGCGAAATCCCAACTGAATCTCCAATATCTTATTACTTGCCATATGCATAAACGTCTCGTAGCTAACAAGGATAGCATTATGATGAATGATGGTTCGAGTACGTTTTCATCTTGGAACTTCCAAGTTACCCGATACAACGCTGGGAACATCAAGGCAACTCGGTATACATCCAGTGGAAATTAAAGGAAGTTAGAAGCTTCCTGGAATGTCAGCAAACACAGGAGATTCAAGCGTGTCGGTCGCTGTCCTGCGTTCTAGCCTGAAGAGCGTTGGGCTGACTGCATCAGTGATAAATAGAGTAAACGGCTTTCCATCGCTTTTGGCCTGGCCACATGTCAGTTTCTTCGTTCTGGACACAGCATCTCATGCGCGACTGACATACATGAATCACACGAATCACATAATCTCTCGTCACCGCCTCTACACACTCGTACGATTAAAGCTTTCTCCACTTCAAGTCTTTTCGTCTTTATTGTCGCGTTTTGCTCATCAGTACCCGATTAGAGTGACTCTGGATCAAAGTTTCTTGCCTAACAGTCTTGTACTTTTTTGTCTAATCTTGTAATATCCACTTGTATGAGGCTGAGCAATTTGTTGTGTCATTACGTCTTGCTTCCAACAATGATATGACTTCCTGATTCTTATTGAATTTCCGCATAATCCGATACGTTTTCTGCACGAAACCGTGGAAATTGGGGATACGTGAAGAATATGGGTTCTCGTTGGGTAATCTGAGTAACTTTTTTTGGGTAACAGGTGGAAAAAACCTGAGACCTGTACTAAAGACGCAATAAAGTGCTGGTAACTCATTTTTCACTTTTCTTGCCAACCCTCATCATATTCCTGCTCACACAAACCTTGTCAAATCTCGTTGGAGTGCAGTGGGTCTCAAGATGATCTCAATATTCCCCTCGGGGTCTGTCCGTTCAGCATGGATACTGAAATAACTATACTTATCAGGTGGGATAACAAACTTGAGGACCTAATAAGTGAAAATCCCGAGCAGGAACTAATGGCATTTATTGTCCTAACTGTGGCCGTCCATAGAGAAACGTGATTGGTCTCGTAGTTGTCGGCTGTTCTGATTTTCAGCCCCTGTCACCAAAACAGCTCATTGAAATTCGCTAACACATATGTGTTGTCGGCTTTCATGACTCTGCGTAAACACTGGAATCGATGCACTCTGAAATACTGCAAAAGAAGCAGTCGTACTGTATCGTTGACTGTAATACAGTGGAACTTAAGACTGAACCTGTTCACATCATCCACGTTCTCTGCGTGGTTGTGTCCTTCGGGATTCTTCACTTCAGGGGCAAAGTATGATAATGAAAAACTTGTCTTATGAGTAGTGCGTCACAAATATACGTGTTTCGTGATATCTCGAATATCGTGGTGACGGAAACATGAGACGGCCTGGTGCAGCACATTCAATTGCCTGGAAACATTACAAACGAGATATTCAGCTGGGTTCCAGTTGGGCATCTCGAACAACCAAGTTAGTTTGTAAATGAGTGCATTTCTCTAAAAACTTGTATTGTTTTTATCCCCTTCTACAGAAAGCCGAACGCTTGAGTAAGCTCCGGGTCGCTTGTGACTACCACCAGTCGCTCTATCGCGATGCTATGACTGGCAAAGGAGTAGACCGCCATTTGTTCTGCCTGTACGTAGTCTCACGGCACCTGGGAATTGAGTCACCTTTTCTACAGGAAGTTCTAGCCCAACCTTGGCGTCTTTCAACCTCACAAACTCCACATGGACAAACTGCTCAAGTGCGGAATCTGCCCCAGTTTGATGACTTCTTCTCGATTGGCGGCGGTTTCGGGCCAGTTTCCGATGATGGCTATGGGGTTTCGTATGTCTTGGCCTCAGAGACTACCACATTCTTTCATATTTCTTCCAAGCATTCTTGTCCCAAAACGGTAAGTTAACTGACCCTTTTCTTTGTAACTCTTGTATAAACTGCTGGTTTGCGTGGTCTACCAGATGTAAAGGGGTATGGTCACCTCCATCATGAACGTCTATTTTGCCCATATTATCCCCAGTTATTGTTGACGTTCCGTCAGAATGCCAAATATTTTGAGACCCGCTCAATGGGTCCTACCGACTAGTGGTTCGATTTAATGGTGGGGACTCCTAGTTATCGACATGAAACCGTACAGACACCACTGGAAGTGATTTACACAGTTCACAGTAAGCCTGCAATCAATTCTGTCGCAAGGAACGTGCTCATTCTCGGTCAACGCTCCTTATCATGACAGTTTGGAGGGAGGAAACATCGAAACATTGGACTATTTAAACCCACAGACTAATGTCAATGCCGCGAAAAAATTCATCAGCAGAGAAACAAGTTTGGAACATCACCAGGCGAGCAGCGGTCGGTTTCTGTCACCGTCTAACGCTGTTAGCAGTGTTCTTCAGGAAACTGCAGTGTTGTTTGTTTGTCCCTTAAATCAGCTGATCGGCTTGCTGCTTTTAAATCCACCACTATGTCTTTGAAAAACAACCTTTTATGTCAAAGTAGATAAGCACAAAAAGATATCTTCAACCGAACATATCGATCACCCACATGATTCGTAATTTGAGATGGATTTGTGTTGCTACCTCCAGGCTTGTTAGTGATCTGGTTGTAACTTAATTACGTCGATCATCAGGTGACAAACACCAGAATGTTAATGATTACAAAAGTAATGTGCACTTGATAAAAATAGATACAACGCGAGTAGGGAATAGGCCAAAAAGTTACTTATCATTTGAGGACAACTGTTGAGAATTCCTGAGTGAAGTTTCGGACGCGGGACGTGTGTTCTTCGCAGTATAGCTGCTACACGTCTTTCGTAGTTGTTTGTGGAGACTTGTGGAGCTCGGCTGATTTCCTGTCCCGTGCGCGCGAGTGTGTTTTTGGGCCCAGTCGTATGCCTATTTATTGTGTGCAGTGTGAACAGAGGAGTGTCCAGTCGTGTTTGATAATTGCACGAACGTGAACACAGCTTGGCCTGATGTGGTTGAACTTCTTAAGCCTGGCGCGTGATTTAAATGTTTGTGAGGTACCGCTACAGGTCTTCGTTGTATGATTGGACATGTATTTGCTTTGCTGCATAGAGATTCTAACAAAACTCAAACGTAGCACGATTTTGATGTGAGATTCCCTCCACTGGGGTGGTCCTAGGCACACGATGAATCTCGTCAGCAAGGGACCTCTACTATGAAGAAGTTCGCGGACTCGATTCTGCGTCAACTTTGCTGTAAACTTTTAATAAATTTCCCTCGAAAACTTGAGGGAAAAGATACTGGCTTTACTTCCTAAGGACTTCCCTACGCACAGTCTTGTCAGAGTAGCCTATGCGAAGCCTTATCAGGTGCATCTCCAGAAGACGTCAGTCGTAGTTGGGATAAGATAATCACCCCGTGCTTACAGCAGGAGATTCAGCTGTACCACTCTTTCGGTGCCTAGCTCCCATGCCACCGAATGAAGCACAAGCCTAGACAGGGCCAGTCGGATTGCTGAATTTGGACTCAAATCACGGACTCTCCAGTCGGTATATTCGTGCCCTAACCGCTGAGCCATTTTGAGCGTGGTGTTTTGTTACTATTTCTCTAGCCAATTTCTGTCGCTGCCTGATACAAACAAACAGGAGAAAACGGAAAAAACAGATACAGAAAACAAGCTTTGTTCGAATGACTTCCACTTGGGACAATTCAAAGATCCATGTGTGCTGAAGGAACTTCAGAAACGTCTGAGGTACAACGTGAAACTTGCGGAAAACAGGAAAAAGCTGCGAGTTCTCAATTCGTGTACCGAACAGAGTGGTTTTCCAAAGCACTAAAGGTGAATACTGCGCAGAAACCGAATCAACCCAACAGCCGCTGTACTAAGGTGCCACGCACGCAACGAGAGTTACGTGATACAGAAAACAAACTTTGTTCACTGCCTTTGTTCTTATGATTTTCATGGGTGTATTTTGTCACTTAATACTGCCGAATCAACCCAACAACTGCTGTACTAAGGTGCCACGCACACAACGAGAGTTACATGATACAGAAAACAAACTTTGTTCACTGTCTTTGTTCTTTTTATGACTTTCATGGGTGTATTTTGTCACTTAATACTTCAGTTACCAAGGCACCTTGTCAACAGTTGGTGGAATATTTCCGACAGAACTTAATTGGCAGTCTGCTTCATTGCCCACATCCAGTCAGGTTTTGTGAGCTTTGATCTCTTCATTTTCTGAAGTACTGATATGCTTTTGTGCCATCGGACCGCGGTACAAACTGAGCTTCCACCGATACTATTCACGGACGGTGTTGAGTCTTGCTGTTTTACCCCAACTGGGGTGTTTAAGCTAATTCTGGAACAATGGTGGGTTTCCGACCATGGGGAGGTGGGCTATGACATTCGTTCCAACTTCATTTTTAAAAAAATACGCGAGGTGTGTAAAGCTCACTTCATCTGTAACACATATATTAGTTAGGTTCACTAACTGTGAAAGCTAATCTCATCACACGAGACCAGCGGGTAGAATTTCGACCAAACATCCATATCTCATCAAGCGACTGATCAGCTCCGTGCATACCGCCGATTAGCGACCGCCGTTTTCCACGACATCGAAGACCCTTTCAGCTCCGCGCTCTTAAAGCTCATACTTTTAGTGGATTTAGGGTTTACAATCCACTGTCCTAAAGCACAAACACAGGTAGTGGAGCTCGTGAACATTACTCCCCATTCCTGTTCAGTTTCGTTATCAAGGCTATTAAGAAATGCACACTTCAAGGGACGTTATTTAACCATCACGCTTCCACATATTTTATCGTCCAAAGTGTGAAGTTTTACCCTAGAATTTTTAATTCTGTTTTGTTCGCGTCTTATTATATTGAGAAACTCGAGTTTTTTTATCGGTTTACGTATCTTAACAGCTTTATAAGTTGTGGTTATACTGCGACACGTGCGGTTAACGCACACTACACCAATGTGCCCTCAATACTCGTCACCCTGTACTATCTGTGGTTCCAAAAACGCACTTTTCTGAAGAGCTGTGCTTACAAAACAACTATGATAGCAGTCGTACTCTAATGCGGTACCGAACTTTAGTTTCCTTCATATATGAGCGCTAATCAGTAGTGAATATTATCAACTGGCTCGGTGTTGGAACCTCATCAGCCAAGGCTAGGTGCACCTGAATCATCCTTGCTACGGAAATGAACGTTTGCATATGACTGACGTCCCGAAGAATGGGCTAGCAACTATCCGGGTTTAATCGATTACCGGCCTGTTTAGACTTTTTTTGTCAAGTAACTGTACAGGTGCGAGGACGGGTTCTGCTTGTTTGTAAGAATTTTACGCAATTGTTGAGAGTACATCCATTTGAATGGTTTGGGTAGTCTTCTTGTGCGACACTCCTACATGGTTGTGATTGTTGACGTCATGAATTATCGCGCCACATCATGGTGGCGAAGCTGGTAACGTACCTAGCGTGTTGTACTATACATAATGGTGGAAGTCTTGCTGTCTGGCTAGCTCCTGTTCTCTCTCTCTCTGTCTGTTCGCTTTTAGGATTCGAAGAAATTCGCATCACAACTGGCCACTGCACTGGCCGATATGCGCGCCTTGTTCACGTGATTGATCATCCTTGCCATTTAGACATTTTTAAACTCGCAGTCATATTGTATTTTGCTTGTACGTAGCTTCTGATGCTTTTCTTACTTTCCCAGTAGATATTAATTATTATCGTCTTCTTGTTTAAAATGTTCAGGGGGGGGTGTTGACTCAAGGCTTAAACTGAAGTACAATATTTCCTGATGTTCCGAGTCCTGATATGAGTTTAAAGTATGCAGTTACCCTCCAGGTGGTTCACTCAAGTGACTTGTGGAATAAACTATTGATTTTCTATGAAGACTTCATCCTGCAAGCACGGGTTGCCCAGGTTAGAAAGCTGAAAATTACTATACAACTGTTTCATCCATGTTGGGAAGCATCAGTAATTCGCATCTCACGAAATTCACGACCTCCAAGCTAGTAGTCTGAACATTTAATCGTTCAGCTACATACGGTTCATTAAAAGTGCGTTGTTTCGAGTCCTGATATGAGTTTAAATTATTCGGTTACCAACTAGGCGGTTCACCACCTCTCAAGTGACTTGTGGAATAAACTATTGCTTTTCTATGAGGATTTCATCCTGTAAGCATGGGTTGCCCATGCTAGAAAGCTGAAAAGTACTATACAACTGTTTCATCCATGTTGGGAAGCATCAGTAATTCGCATCTCACGAAATTCACGACCTCCAAGCTAGTAGTCTGAACATTTAATCGTTCAGCTACATACGGTTCATTAAAAGTGCGTTTAACTCGCACCAGGAATCCCTCAATGACAGGACGAGATCTGCATTGAAAATCCAGAGTTCCATTACACAACGAACAATGTTGTTTTTCTGCTTGGCAGGCAGTCAGATGGGTAAAGTGCGCATTTAAAGACCGGGCCCTAACCTCTGCATCTTGGCTGCTCCTGTCTAAGCTCGGGCAACCTGACAGTATATCAGCCCTCATGCTTCCTTTGGGTGGCATGGATGCTAGGCACCGAAATGGTGAATGAATATCTCTATCTGACAATTGGTCCGCCCACTAGATCCACGAGTATCCCACGTTTCGAGAGGACGAAGAAGGAGTAGGTGAGGTCTGTGAAGGATTTTATTTGGAAGGTCGAATCAAGAGTAGGGTTGGTGCAAAATGAAACCGGCTGAAAAAGCAAAGTTCCAGTGACTCTATGATATCGCCAGGTCAATGATGGTGTCCAGCAATTGACAGAAAAGGTGTGTCCAGCAGCCACTATCACCGGCGGCATAAATCAAAGCAGATGACACCCTTGACTAAGTTTCCAATTCTTCTTATTTGGGTGCTATCTTGTCCACCCCACGAATCTCCCTCTTATTGGAACCGGCTTCAGAGAGTTGAAGTGATTCGAGTTCAGCCGCACCAAAATATCGAATAGGCGAAATCCACCAGGTGGACGGAATCACCAGTTTATACAAGTACTCGTGAACCTGGTCAAAATGCGATGATTGTAAAGCAGATACCCCAACAAATTATTTCTTCCCTTCTGGCATCGAGGCCTGTTATTCATCAGGCAATAGTATTTTGGTGAGTAGTTAATGCGTTTTTCCATCCACAAGTTAGGTGAGAGGAACGCAGGATGGATCCGGTGCTTTGTTGCTACTGTGTTCGCTTTGGTTGAAATTTCATCCTTGATCGGTAGTGGATAGTTTGCTTGCTACGGTGTTTTTCCTCAGGCCGGGTACAGGTCAAAGAATTTGTCCTTCCATATGCTTTCTTCATCATAAAAACGATGAAAATTATTGTGTATAACGAACCCTGTTCTGTGTTTTTTGGTCGATTCGCAGCGTTTTGCGTCCAGTTTTACGAATAAGCCAAACTAATCGGATTTTCCCGATTGTCATAACTGTTTCCGGGTTTTTCATACCCATCAATCTTTTCTTGTCGCTTCGCATGATCATACTGGATTCCTTCCTTTCGTTATGATAATACCCAGCAGTATGTCTGTCTGGTCTCTCGATCGCTTGTTCCTAGTTTCTAACAAACATCGACCAGCTAATAGCAGGCGTGTTCCTCCAAAAAGGATTCTACGCCTGAAAGAATTCTTCTTCAAGGTTGTTATGTAGTCCTGTTACTCGGAATCCTCTCTCAACTGCTTCTCTCTCCCGATGTTTTATCGATAATGACTGCAACTTAGTGTTGCCGGATGACACGAAGACGTGCTTCAAAGCCAACATTCTGTCACCGTATGCGGTATGAACTCAGACCCACGGCTGAATGTGCCCCTGTGTGACAGTCCTTCCGTGTTTGCTAGTAGGGTGAACTTATCTACCTCAGCATCGGCGATTTTACTCGTTCGTACGTACCGATCATGGGCAGTCTCGACGTACATGGTGAATATTTCAAGAAAAGCCCTGTGTAGCCGGCGGGCGAATTTTCAGGGTGCAGAACAAACGGGACCTCAGAATAGTACAACAATAAACCTAAAGAAATCGATCGGATTAATCAAACAAGAAGCTTTACTCGCGGAACATTTACTAAATTAAACCACTGTCAGTGAAAATTTGCTATGTATGTGGAAAAGCAGAGTTAAATTGTGTTCTGAAACAACCAAAGACAAGCAAGACTAGGAGGATGCCGAGTATTCAAATGAAACATCGAAAATGAGATAAGATCACGTCATTGTGTTTGTGTTGAACTTCATTGATGGAAAGTTGTGGAGCACGTCCTAATACTTCCTGATATGGAACCCGGGAGAATAGTGAATCTTTGCACTTACGGACAACCAGGCACGAATCACACCCTAGAGGGGACTTCATGCGTTTGTCCAAACTGACTTCGGGAATACAACTGACGAACCATCACACTGTCAGTTTTCAGTAAATGAGAAGCTCGGAAGCAGGCACAAAGGCGTAGTGTCAGTGTGTGGTGGTGTAGGGAGCTGGAGGCTTATAGGGTACATGAGATCGGTGAACTAGTTTCGGGTCAGTCTGACCAGACCCTATCCACCATCCACTCTCACCGGTTGGCCTGAAAACCTAGTTTTCTTCCTCGGTTTAGTTGATGAAAGACGTCCATTTTATGCCTCCGTGATTTGCAACTCGTTCCGATACTACTCAGATGTCAACGCCTCATGTCAGATTGGAAAAAGAAGTACGTCGCATAGAAAATAATAACGAAAGATTGTTAAGGTGTTTGTGTCGTCCCATTCAGGGTATCATGATACAACACTTTGCACATATGGACATTTCCAACCAGATAGGTAGCTTTCAAGAACAGATTGACGAAGTGGCGATTGGACCTCCCAGCGTTTTTCCGCTGGCAAATATCTTCACGGGTATATATGGAAATAGCCAGCTGCAAAACATTTTGTCATTGCCACCGTTACGTTGATGGCACATGTTGTCGCCAGATCAAAATTACCAAGATTGTGATGAATGTAGCAGAGTATATTGAGCAGTCCTACTCATGTTGGACTGAAAATAGCTATCTTTTACATCAATATGTGCTCATTTCACCAAGAAGACACCCGTTTCAGCCGGTATGCTAACCTCCGTAGCTTTTTTTCTTCTGCGGAACGAAAGCGAGACTTCATCGAGTGTCAAGTGCACCGAGCTGGAAATACCTGCTCAACAGATATGATGGAGGTTCGGTTGGAAACGTAATCGAGGAAAACGGTTACCCAGCTCTTCTTATTAGGTGAAATGTGTCACCACCGAAGGGAATTGTGATGGTTCAGTCAACTGAAACAAAACCTCGCTCAGTAATCTGATACATCAAGATGTTTCCGTAGCCGGGTTGGTGACAGTCCCAGAAAATGTGCTTGGAATGCCACATCTTTGCGGTCATTTTTTTAGTATCCGAAATGGGAAGGTTGCCGATCGGTTACACTGAAATAGTCTGAGAGTATCAAATTTCGAATGAAATTAGGGGGAATGCGGGTGATTACAAAGGCTTCTACTATCAGCTTGCCAACTCTGAACATATGCCGACCCACGGAATGCATTTGAAGGTGTTTATCCCTTCCCGAATAATCGATCGCATCCATTCGCTTACACACAAATCATGACGAAAGCTATATCGATTAAAAGGTTATGTTCAAGCTTGCCTAGGAATCGCACATCAGTGTTCAGTCCCGACTGCAGTAAAACTCGACTTTCCTAGCCCTTTGAAATTACTCATTTATTGACGTCACTTTCACTAAATTGATCTCATTATTTTCTATTTTCATCTATGTTTCGAAAAGCTGTCTGCATTCCTCAAGCGCTAACTTTTTTCCATCATGCGATCGCATTTTTCCCAACTACTGAACTTCCGCGATTTTATCGTTTTTCGGACCTGTTTATTCCGCGTGGGCCATGGAAAACCGAAGGGATATGTATGTATGTGTGTTTATGCTCTTTCGAATATTGTTTTCCCGGGACAATTTAGATCGAAGAAAAAATCACGTGCGGAATGTACGGTAAAAAAGTACTACTTTCCACGGTTGATGCTCTTTCGCTGTTTAGCCATCAGTGGGCTTCTGTTTCGAAGTGTCCTATAGTATAATTAATGCGAGAAGGCCAGAGGACTCAATTAGGATGAATTAGTTTACGGAAGTAGATCTTTGTAAAGAGGCTTGCTATGTTGATTCATTCGTTGGATGTCGATGAACTGATATGGTTACCGACGAGTGCAGAAGGGTTTCGAACCAACTAAACAGCATGCCATATTGTAAAATCACAGAATGTGTGTGTTTGAAATGATTGAAATGGTTGGTGTCTGAGATGGGTTTTCTGGTTTGGCTGTTGGTGCTCGTGAGTGACCAACCACGGTTACTTTGAGAGTTCATAACGCGTGTGTAAAGCATGCCTACTAATGTGTTCGCAAGTAGTATAAAGGTTTTAAGGGTCATTGGTTTCTCTAGATGAAGCCGGCCTGTGCAACAGCCTCGGCGACCGGAAGATCAGTGGTTGGAAAGATGCATCAACAAAAAACTTATGTATCAGTAAGACGGACTAAGATGTAGCTTAATCTGTCTCTTCAGATTGACCCGGTTGGGTAGCATGAGAACTGGACGTCGTTGATCTGCTTCCAGCCTTCCAGTGTGTCGTGAGTAGCCAGTTCCCGTGCAGATTTCACTGAACAAAAGCAGTGTACTGCCTTCAGTGTGTCGTGAGTAGCCA